AAGACGAGGAGGAAAAATAAAGAAAAGAGATGCGGGTCGAAGTCGCTGTCGGATCTGAATTCACGTAATTGTGATGAATGAATTCGCTAATGCCTATAGCCACCGTGTCGACTCAACGGCGGGCGAGGAGCAACTTGGCGACGAGGACCCAAAGATTTAAGAGTGGACTGCCCGACGCACGCACAATTGCGTGAGCGTGTTTTTTTTTTTTTTTTTTTTTTTTTCAACTTGATGCAAAAGAGCTGGATGATTATTTACGAGCGTACGCCTGTGGTGATGCGGAGTTTGCGAATTAGGAGTTACAAGTGTGGTCTGCTTGGAAATTGAATTTTTTTCAAAGTTGCACTTTTTTTTTAAATATACGTTCCTCTTTATCCAAATCAAGATTTAGTTTTGCGCGACATTAGTACCGAGTGCGGCAAGTTTTATGTGTATCATACACCAGAGGCGCGCTGTTTTTTTTCCTTCTTTATCGGAACAAAATGTACACTTATGACTTTACCGTAAAATTTACGAATATGAAGGTGCGAAAAGCACTGTTTCGCGTAAAAATAAAAGTGCGAAGCGCAAACGACGCGTTCTCGTCGTCGTCTATAAAAAAAAAAAGCTGTGGACGACTTTTAATTCAAGTTAGTTATCAACGATTTCCTTGACCGATATCGAAAAAACTAGTCCAGCTCAGTGAAAAAAGTACCATTTTTTTTTGTGTGACATTTATTCGATAGGTTATGGCACGGCTACGCTGACAGATTTTGTCAGCTTTTTATTTTTGAATCCCACATTAATTTATTGTTGCTCGATATCCTGCAATTGGGGAATCCTGCAAATGTACAGATCAGAGCAAGTGTACAAGTCCGCATTTCGTAGGACCCAGGAATGGCCTCCTCGTGAGCATTTTATCGATTACTCTCCTGTAGCGTAATAGTGTTGCAATGAGAGATCTCTAGTATGGCTCTCTTCTCTCGATCCTTAAATGCGAAGGAAAGAAGAACAAGGACGAACAAGGCTAAAAATGTGTACTAGCGTTAATCTGGTGGGTTTTTATCGGTAATGGATGATTGACTGTCGTCGCGCCTTTTTTTTAAATGGACAGCGTGGATGTCTAATTGACGCGGACTTGTCCCGTGCTTTGGCTCAAAGTTGCGAAATTCTTGCATGTTGCCGAGATGTGGAGACGACGAATGCGCTGCGAAGGTGATGCTGCACTCGTGTGTGTTGTAGTCGTGTGATTGATCGTGCACTTTTTCCTTTACATCTTTCCTTCCCATGTTTTTTAGGTTACCGGTGATGTTTTGATTTTGCCCGAGGACTTTTACTAATTTTTTTTTTCTTGAATGATTTTTAGCATAAATTCAAGTTTATTAAACAAATACATGGAGTGAGGTCAGAGATGATGCCAATGAATTGCTTAATCATATTTTGTTTTAAGAGACAAGTGCTCAAAATTCCGCAATTTTGCTGACCCTGTTTAGTTATATTTTCACAACATTGCATCAAATGTTCACGCAAAAGTTACGAAAATATTTCATCACCAGTATAATATACGCATTCACATTTTCATATTGCGCCTCTCACTGAACTATGACCTATAAAAACTGGTTGCCTAACAATAAAATATTCATGCAGAAATTTTATTTATGTACCAATGAAGGAATATACCAAAAAAAAAAAAAAAATAAATAAATAAAAAATAGAAAATATGCGTACGCACCACTGAGTCTAAACGAGGTTGGAGAAATCAAGCTCCTGTAATTATTACATTTTAATTTCTTGTATAATTCAAACAAGAGTTATGACCTTCAAAAGATATTCTTTAAAATATTGTACTTTTTTTCCACTTCTCTCGTACATTTGAAACGAAAATTTGTACACTACTGCCCATCTTTTTTATCACACAATCGTAGAGAAACATTGCACCCCTGCAGCACGAGTCATGTGGGCTCACGTAATACTTGCAGTGTCCTCTCTCTCTCTCTCTCTCTCTCTCTCTCTTTGAACCCTGACCCGATCCCTCGCCCGTTAAAGTGAACGCCAGAGTAAACAGGAACCTTTCGTGCTCGGTAATTCTATACGCGTGTGCAGGATGCGTCATTCCCCGCGAGGGAGAGAGTAAAAGCGGAATTTTCATCGCCTATTCTTACGTGTGCGGTGGTTTAACGCGTGGCGGTCAATAGTCGCGTCTCCTGTGCTTTGTAAGCGTATATATAAATACTAGGAATTCTATCGGCGAAACAAATACCATTGATAGTTTAGTATGTGTATATCGAATTAGAATCGAAAGGCTGAAATCGCGAAAGTCTCCGTGCGAGAGAGAGAGAGAGAGTCGGTGGTCCTTAAAAGTAAGAGCGACGATTGTCGGTGAAATTTATGTTTGCAGAGACCGAAAGAGCCAAGAGAGGTTTCTTTTTTTTTTTTTTTTTTTTTTTTCATCTTCGCGAACAGTCACAGGAATCGAGTTCTTACGTGCCGGATTTTACGCGAGAAGCTGTAAATGTCGGATTTTGAGGGATTCGGATGTTCGACTCGAAAACGGGAGAGACGATGAATGGCGATTACGGGAACGCATGGATGTGTCAATTAACTTTAGTATTCGTCTTTAATAGCCTGTTTCTGTGTACAGTTATTTTTATTTTTATTTTTTTACTCGTTTTAATTGTATTTATTGTCATCCAATCGATGTACTCTGTTATTTCTGGGAGATACATCGTATACCAGAAATATGTACGGGGTCGTTTAACACAAAAACCATGTTATTTTACGACACAGCCATTTAGAAAAACTTGTTCCACCTTCTTTAAATATTCTAAACTACTTATGGCTTTACAAGTGACGTTTAGAGACACATCCTAAATGTAATAGCACATTTATCCTTATCAATCTCTAAAACGCAGGTATATATTTTCCAACCGCGAACAAAGTCTATGACGCACCCCAACTGATGATCCTCTTCTAGGGTTGCATCAGCCGACCGAATGACATGAAAAGTCGCGCAGTTACAAATACCACGGCCACTACGTATCACGTCGACGACGACAGCATCGGGGCACACAGCAGCACAGCTTGTACGTGCTAATTTAATCCGACCGACCCCGTGCAGATGTATACCTATACGTTTATATAAATAGTTACACGTAAGACTGCAGGCGGCCAACCAACTCGCACGCGATATCGCGCGCTGCCTACGGCCGATCATTTCCCTCCGCTTATAATCGTCCCGGGGCTGGCCTCGGGAGTACGGGCACATTGATTCCGCATTATATACACGGAGTGGAGGGTCGAACGTGCGAAAATGTCGTCGGACTATGTGTTGCGCAAAAGGCACTGCAGGATCACTGTCGTCGTTTATGTAGCCACGCGTGTTTACCCCATCCTTTTTTTTCCAAGCTCGTCCGTCCAGCGCTAAAAAGTGTGAATTCGCGTTGCTGGTGTACTTACAACGTATACACACACCGAATGGCGATAAATGGGCGCGTTTCGTGCGAGCACGCGATATTTCGACTCTAGGTGCATGTGCCGTCTTACTTGCGAATGTACACTATACACTCGTTGAAGGTAAACTAGTCGCGGATACTGGATTTTTTTTTACGAATTCACAGCTACACTCGGTACGATATCTTTTTTTTTTTTTTTTTTTTACCTCACTTTTAGGAAGGGGATAGATACAACGCAACGAAACGACAGATTGGGCGTCTCTTGGCGTTCAAGTAGCGCCCTCGAATTCCTTTGGTAAAATCATGGACTTTGTCAATTAAGTAATCCGATACGCAATCCGCGTTACGAAACCAGCAATCGCATGAGACATGTGCGTTTATTTTGCAAGTATAAGTAAGCACGTCTACATTGAAATAAGACACGTGTGAGTGTTTGGCTCAAAGAGTCGCTGAATAAAACCGTGTGCAGTTTCAAATGACTTTGAAAAACGAAAAAAAAAAAAATCACGCGAGCTGTTGGTATATAGTATTTACGCAGAAAGCGTCGCAATGAGGGTTCGACAGCAGAGAGAGAAAGAGTGTCCGGGAGGCCGGCAAACCCGGCGCGAAAAAGGAAGCGGAGGATTTGTCACGGAGCGGCAGTTTCGTTTAACTGATCTCATCCGTCTTGTCGTCGGCGGCTGTGGCGACGACTGCACCATCGCCGGACTTCTTCATTGTGCGGCGGCGGTCGGCCCCTCGCTCTCCTCGTCGTGTAGGTATACATTTGCTGCGAGATAACGCCTCGATGGGATAAGAAGCGGAGTACTTACACGTAGTGCTCGACGTTTCGGCGTGGCAGAGGAGGAGAGATGCGTTTACTTGCGAGACTTATTGCTGGCAGGGGGGTCGGGGCTGTCGGAGATGGGGATTGGGGGGGACCGTGGAGGGGGCTTTTCAAGCTTTTTTTTTTTGTATGAATATGTTTGCACGGACTTTTAAAGTCTTTTCGACATTTTTGTTTTGTTTTTGTTTACGATGCACGTACTGTAAAGTTATATTGTTGGTATACTTTGTTCGCGAGATCGGTGTCTTTGAGGACGTTATTGTTATCGCCATAGTTCATCCGATCGAGTAATGTGGTTGGTAGAGTGAAAGATTTTCGATTTGAGTTCGATTGCAGAAGCGTTTTTAACATAATCATTGAAAAATAATGTGTTCAATAGACACACAGTACAAAAGCTACAGTGATTTCTGTTTGATTGACGAAAACTTTAAGAGATCTGAGAGATGTTGTATCTATGTGAATGATTCCTTTTTTTTGGTCTACAGCAATAGTAACAGAGAGCAACATATTATAATAAACTGTAGGTAAAAACGTGTATGCGTACCTAGATTTTAAAAAGGGAAGATATAATATTTACTACGAATACCGTACTGCCTATACTTTGCTGAGGTACACCAGGGACCGGATAATCAAAATCACATCTGTGCGAGAGTATGTCTTTAAAGGTCGATTAGCGTGAGCAATCGCACTTCGTTTTGCGTATGTACTTATAACGTTCAAGTTTCTTCAAAATTATAGTAACTATGACATGTTACATCATAAATATTAAAGGAATAGACAAGACTTATGGTTGGATGATGAATCCCATTTTGATGAACCATTTCCCTACGTAACAGATAAAATTGCAATTGCAGACGAGCAAACACGTAATACAACACTCCACTGTCGGTCACGCATGCACTCATCGAGTGTCCCCTGCACTTACGTTTCGCATCCATATCATCTAACACTCCTACACTGACCCTTCAAACGCTGCACAAATGCTCTTTCATTGCTGATAATCACATGCACCAAGTCGTAATTAAAATATCGAAACTATTATAACTAATGATATCAAAAAATGGGCTTTAATCTCTGATTTGTTTTTTCGTTTGTTCCAGGTTTTGTATCCTGTTCGCCGAGTCCTTGTAAGCACGGAGGGGTCTGCATATCACCACCGCGCGGCGAGTCGTATTGCAAGTAAGTAACATCACATTGTTCGAAAGTTTATTATAAAAACCATGCAAAAAATGTTGAAATTCCGAGAAAATGATGGAGAGAGAGAGAGAGACGAGCGAAAAAAAAAAAAAAGAAAAACTACACCTGGGAACACAACCGAGGCAAGTATCGAATGCGAGAACTCGCGGACTCGCAGCCTCCCACGCAATAGAGATACCCTGGCTCCTCCGACGGCGCTCGTTGTCGGAAAATAGTCCGTATACCTCCGCAGAATAGGCCGTCCCTCTCATCCAAAAACGCCAAAGGCGTCGCGCGTTACATCCCCTTTTCCACCCTTGCCGGTCGGTAACGACCATTAATACGTACCGCGGCAGCAACTGATCGTGGAAAATCGGCGAGGCAGGAAGACTCGGGAGGAGATCTTCAAGGCAATCCCAGTTCCGCGAGTATACGATCACGAGCACCGTACACGTAAACGCGGTTTTAGCCGAGGGCGCTTTTTCGGCGCTCCTTCGCGTGTGCTTGTGCTGCCGTGCTGCAGTTTCTGCTGTGTGTTGATGCCACCACCACTGGGTAGTGCGTGGGATAATTGGAAAATCGTTGCTGGCCAAGTACAAGTACACTTGCCCGATTGAACGATGCGGAGCCTTGATGGTTTGCTCTATCAGTGATTTTTTTTTTTTTTTTGTCTCCATTTCTTGAAACCGCGGAGGCTTCCGTTTGTTATTTCGATCGCCTATACTCGGGTGGACATCGTGGCCCCCCGTGAGGCCTAATATGCTCGGTAACAGAACAAAAGTATATCGATGCCTCTCCACGATGGGTCGTCACATGAAATGCACTATCATGTATACCGAACAAGAAGCGATACCGCTACCATTAATACCTTTCCAAGTCCGTTTTCCGCGCATAATCGTGTCCCAACGAATTTGTAATCATATCGTGGTACAGGTACAGCTCGTTAGTATCGTATATGAGTGTATATACATATAATATCATATAAAACCCAAAGTCTACGGACAACAATGTAACGTCACGTCGTCGTCCCGTTACGTTTCGATCATTGGACTGCCGCTGCTCCACTCTGTAAGTGTATTATAATCTACCGATGCAATTTTCTTTTAAAGAGAGAGAGAGAGAAAAAAAAATAAAAGAAAATCGAGACAGAGAAAAGGAGTAAGACAACGCAACGTTCACCACCAATGACTGCGCTCGATCACCGTCAAATCACGAGCTTGGCTCTTGTGTGCCTATATACGTTGTCGCTGTATATATTCTCTTTTGCAAATGCATTCTGCACGGTATAGCCGCCTATAGTTATACTTTGTGCAATTGGGTACTGTGTACTGTACTGCAATGCAGCTCAGCGTGGGATGATATTACGAGGCCGTGTGTAACAGTCCACACGTGGACGAGAGAGGCGGAACTGTTGTAATGGAACTACATGTAATATATACACAGATGAAAGCCCCGAGAGAGGGGCAATATCAATGGTATAACGACGCATTTAATGGTCCAGGAGTTACAGATTCAGGACAACTAGATCCTTATAGGTCCCCTTCGCTAGTGCCAAAGTATTGTCTATATAATATAGAAGAAAAAATAAAACAAAGCAAATCGTTTCCCAAAATATTACTCCTTCCATTAGCTCAGTGATCATCATCATCCACACATCATCTGCTAGCTATACTATAAATGTAATATTATCTCCGTTAAAAACGCGGGATGCTAATATTCAACTGTAGTGAGGACGGAGCTCTTCTTTTCATTTGTGTGTATACCACACGCGGACAATAATATATTGGCCGCGATCACCATCGTTGCCGCAATTCACTCCCCAGTACCATGGCGTATTTCCCTCTCGCTCTTGCTCGCGAAATTCCGAACAATGTGACTCTCGTTCCACGCGACGATGCGCTTAAAGTGTCTCTCTCGTCATCCAATCGCCTCCTTATATATACATTACGCACAGCCATTTTTTTTTCCCTCTATTTTTCCATGTAAAACTTTGCGGTTACGCGTATGCGCAACACGTCGATTTCGTAACAGCTGAACGAGCTTCGTTTTACCCGTTATTGTTGTTTATCGCGTATACATTACGCGTTTCGAGGATAATACCCTGGCCGGAGAGGAAGAAAAGGAATTCGTCGCGCTCCATTTGTCCTCGGCCCGTAGTTGCAATGTTTATCGACGCTCGGACCTACTTTCGCATCAATGCGCGTTAGTAACGCGTGGATAATATGTATATAGGCAGGGCTTGGTGCTTTACTTACACGTTTTGTTTTGAGTTACGGCACGAGTGCGGCTTGTCGTGCGGGGGAAAAAAAGAGACGCGCGTAACAATCGAGTTTGATGAAACGGCGAGTTGCATTACAGTTGACTGGCACTCGAGAGACGCTGGAGCTCAATCCAACTTTGAGAGGCGCGACAGACGAGATGAGAGTCAAACCTTATGGGAAGCAAGAGTGCGAATAGAGTATGGTGATTGCAGTACGAATAATATGTGATGGCACCGATTTCAATATCCCACTCTGGTCGTCTTGCCGCGTTGAGCTATAGTTTTCGAGAGGAGTGCCCGTACAGGACACTTTCTTCTTTTATCTGCAGTTTTTGCGGTTTGAAATTTTTGGCATTGCAAGGAGAAAAATTTTAATTTTCAATCAATACCTCTAATTTGAATGAAAATCTTTATTGTGATAGAAATTTTTATTGAAGTGGGATGGGTTGAGCAAAATTTTTATTTGAGATACAGGCATGTTCCATCGGACGGATATTTACGATACTTTTTGAAAATATTTAAAAAAAAACAATATTTACCACACATCAAAGTACCTTTGTCTCATAAAAATGAGAAAAGGGTACCGTTTTCTTCCTCTATTTGACCAAATGCTGAAATGCATACGAAGCTCACATTTTTCTCTCTCTCTCTCTCTCTCTCTTAGCACACAACGATGATGTAAGATGTACAATTTTCTCTCAACAATTCAAGTTGTTCACTGTGTTTGAAAAATTGACAGTACATATTTTCCCCTCGAATAATGTCAAACGATTTGCCGATGTACCATGCCGTTACAAAACTACCCTCGATGCTGACCTACAAATGTCCGTGTAATCTCGATAAAAGCCTCACACCGTCGATACTCAAAAACCATTAACTTCTTGCACGCATCGATGGAAAATTGATCGATGCATTAAATTCGCTCACGAATGCGACAGTCGCACATTCGCGCTAATGTATAATATACCCCCGTGACATCGGCACACTCATCATTTCTTTCTCCCAATAATTAAAAGCATCCCTGATGCGTCACAAATCTCAATAATCGACAATCGACTTTTCAGAGGAAGATTTCTCGTCCGCCCGGCCTCCCTTACCCCCCCCCCCCCCGAATTTAAAATGGAAACCTACATTTATCCGCGCAATTCATCATACCGGACGTACACACAGCGCGTGCACTCGCGTAATCCAATGGAACAACAAATTTACTCGGGCGCCACTTGACAATATGGCGAATTAGGGGTATAGAGAAAGCAGCGAAGGGAGAAGTGGCCTGCGACACAATGGCGCGTGAAAAACCCCCGGTGCACCCTCCTCCGCACGCGCGTGTGGGGCTCAACCCTCCTGTCGGCTATCCGCTAAGTGCACCGAGATACAGGCTTATAGGACGCGTCGCCTCGTTTGCTCCTCGTTCTTTCTTTCGTCCCTTTTCATTACTCTTTTTTTTTTCTTCTTCGACGATCTCTCATTGTTCGGGGAGGATGTATTTGGTGCACTTTTCTCTCACACTGTGTATATCACTAGCTGATGGGACTGGCTTTTTTGCGAGGCTACTGTGGGGGTAATTTATGCATTGACCCTCGGGTGGCTGTATACAGGGGCGGAGTCTCCCTTCTTCTCCGTGTATTCAAATAAGGGATGGCCGATATAGGTCTGTGCTAAATATTTTGTAAGCGATACGGGATATTTGCGGATTAGCTCTCACTTTTCGGGGCGCTACTCCCGAGCGTGATTTCGTGTTTCATCGTTCGGGGGGATTATTTGCCATTCAGATTTTTTTGCCTCCGCTCGTCGAATAGCTTGATTTGATTTTTTCCATAATTATTTTAACACGACTAATTTGCATTTTTGCAGCTTGTGGAATTTTATCTTGAATTATTGTAAAAGAGGAGAATGATCAGCAACGCTGATCACTTGGCGTTTCCGAACGACAACAAAAGTGATTCACCACCCAGTTGAATCAATGTATATTTCGGACGTGTAATGCAAACCACGAAAAATTTCCCCTCAACGGTCCCCACGACAACAATTCCCTGACAAACTCGATTTCCGGAAACCAGCTCTCGACACCACTGTATCCTAAGCCTCCAGGGCCAACTCGAAAAAATTTCAACTTCTTTCCCCCCCCCCTCCCTGGTGTTCTCCCATTCAGAGCTTCTTCTCGCATCCCCTCGCGTGTGTCAAAGCTGCTGGGCCCACGTGCAGTGAGCCGGGCACACGCTCCCTCGGCGCTCAGCTGCTGCGCTCAGTGGCCGCGTGGCGCGGCACGTGACCAACGCCGAAATTCTCCGCGTAAGTCGCGCCCCCGATGAGCAATAAAAGGGGTTTGTTGCTTTTTCGAGGCCAGTGGCCCGAGAGTGAGCCACCCTGTGCGGTGTTTTTCTTCCATTCGGCCAGTTTCCGGCGAACTGGCTCTCTTATATTTCTCTCTCTTTCTCTTTTTTTTTTTTTTTTTTTTTTTTTTTCATTGTGTCTCCATGTGCGTTTCACTCGATGAAAAGAGAGAGAGGGGGAGAGAGAAGACACCACCCCTATGTGCACGGTTACCAGCTCGTCTCGTCATAATCGGCGGTACAGCGAAAGACGTAAATTACTTTTACTGCGCGTCACTTTTGAGTCGCGTTGCGCGGGACGAGGGGTGAATTTGGCCAGGGGCTGCAAAGTTTTTCTCACCTTTGTCTCGGGAAACGGAACGAATTCGTTTTCAATTTGTGAAAAATGACTGGGGTGTATCCCGTTACAC